AAGAAATGAGGAGATGCGATCTGCCGGAGGAGCTCTGGCAGGATCGCTTTAAGTAGCGGTTGGGTGTCGCAGAGCAGAGAAATGCGCTATAAAAGCGGCTTGTTAGTAGTAGTAGTAGTAGTAGTAGTAGTAGTAGTAGTAGTAGTAGTAGTAGTAAGTAGTAGTAGTAGTAGTAGTAGTAGTAGTAGTAGTAGTAGTAGTAGTGGTACTAGTAGTAGTATCCATATGGCAGCACCGCTTTGTGATCATTGAGGATCTTTTGGTTTACATTTTGCAATAAGGAACGACTATTTCTGGCTCATTTTAGAAACAGCATACATGCCATTGATTTCCCTATGCAGATACGTGCTTTAATAGAAGAACTAGAGATAGTGATTGGTTCCTTATTGCAAGATGTAATCCTTTTCGTACTTGTGAAAATCATCGATGAAGAAAGGATTTATTTTTATTTGAGGAGAGTGAAGCTAAATCGTGACGTCAAAAATAGCTCGTTTTATAAAGTTCAATTTCCCTTGTTTGCCAGCGCGGTGACCGCGGCGCGGCGCGGCGCCACTCTCTGGTTTTGTGGCGAGGCATCCAATGTCAAGGATAAGCTCCCCGATTTGAATATTAACGTCTTTTCTGACCTAATTTTTGGCGGAGCTGACTCACTCGGGTAAACACTCCAAGCGGATTCTTCTCAAGGCCAAGATGCCGTCCAAGAGGCAACCGCTCGCGCTTGTGCTCGTGATTAATGTTGCACTTGCGCTCAACAGATCCACCTCAAATTCCGCTTTGTTTTCATCTGATTTTTAGACAGACTGATTTTTTATTCATTCATAGCCAAGGGTTCTATGATCAACCACCGGTGAGTGTGCAAAATTATACACCACGATAGGGATGGCCCAAGTGCGAAACCACGTATCTCTGTTTAAGACATTGCAGATTTCCTGTCATACTTTATTTGCATTGCATTTTCCAAAAGGAGACCAAGAGCATTACAATCTTCCTAGGATTTTGCAACTTACATTTTCGGTAAAAATTACCGAAATCACGCAGAAAATTTAATTTACTAAAGTAATTTTCGTCTTGAATTCATAGTTTAGTGGGAGTAAAGATACAACTTCTTTAGATGATCAGTTTACAGTTGCAAGGTAAATAAGTTGCACAATTTTAGCAACACTGGAATGCTCCTGGTTCTTTTATGCAATATGCAACCCATTTAGTCTTCGAAAAGTATTCATCGTAAGTTCTTCAAAGCTCTCGTGATTTTTCCTGTTGGAGGGCAAAATATATACTATAAGAATATCAAACTGTAAAGTTAGCTAATTTCTTTTCGAAAAAGTAAAATTGGATCGGAAATTTTGAAATACCGCAATAAAGATACGCGGTTCCGCTTTTTGGCCAGCGGTAGGTATTTCCATCTTTTCACCAAAAATACGATGAATGCTTTCAATTTTTCCGAATTCAACTCACACGCGAAAAAAAGAAAAGGTCTTCATGTTCGTTAATTCATGCTTCTTGTATGCCGTGAGCCCTGTAATGCGCATTCACTTATGGGTCTCAGGACTCATGTCTTAATGCACATAGTTCCGTTTGGTAGAAATACGTTCATTTTGTCATTCCCTGGCGAATCCTACTTTTTCCCTGTCTTAGACAGCGGACCGCAGTCTTCAATAATCGGCCGTTTCAATCAATAGGATCGCTATATTTTTTCTTAGTCTTCTTTATCTTTAACTTTGTCGATCAATTGCAATGATCAGGCCATTGCCGGTCATATTTCAATAAAAAATCGAATTCCTTGATCAATTTTCCAACCTTGAAACGAGCTTACGTCCCTCCATCAAAGGATCGACGAATCAAGACATTATCACGCATCAAATCGTCGCTCCTCCGACGAAAAGACACATCTCAATTTTCACGTGCGCTTTATTTTCCATACAAATTCATGCTTCCAAGACTCTTGCGGAAATTGTTATACGCCCATACGTCAAAGGAGCGACGAAATGACGGTCGACGTCTATGACGATCTGGCAAGGCGGGAGTCCAGGATACTGCGTACGAGATGAGGATGAGATGAATGGCTATAGGTGAAAGCATCTCTTCATCGAGGCGGTCATGGCATCGTGCATTCGAGGATTCGTGTCGGCGCAATTATTGCCCTTTCGGGGAAATGCATCCTGATCATCTTGATTGAGACGCATCGGATGCTCGGGTCCGAGAGGATTTCACAAAGCACAATCCAGGCAACATGACAATAGACATTGAATCCAAGTCCTAGTGTCTAATTCTGTCGTGCTAAGGGAGAACGTCGTAAGAGCCTTCAGACGCTGCCAAGTTTCTTCTGATAAAAACCGGATTGGGTCAGTTCTGCCGTAATAAGGAAAAACGCCGTATGAACATTCGAGAGTTGTCAAATTTCCTCTCAGAAAAAAGTTATTTTTGAGGAAAGGTATGAATCTATCTCCTTGAAATTTTCAGGAACCGCAGGTGGAGTTGAGAACAAAACTATCGGAAAAATCGGAAGGAAAATCTTTACAAATTTTCCAGAAAACTGGTGATTTGCCGTAAGAAATTTGGCAACGCCTGAATGTTCATGCGGCGTTCTTCCTAAGCACGGCAGAGTTGCGATGGTCACAGAATCGTGTTTCGATGCTTGATTCTTGTAGATCAGCTAAAAATAATACCATCCAAACTCTCTACGTTCAATATTAGCCGAGATATCGCCTTTTAAAAAGCCGGATTTTGACGTCATCCACCGCGGTGGTGACACCCTTGGTTTCTTCCACCTCTAGGGTGTTCCGTTTTTAGACAACCATCTCAAAACCTTGCTCCCCGGGCTTTTTCCCATTCCCTTTGGTCCCCAAAAGATAATTCTGAAGTTTCAGCACCATAGCTGAAGTCTACACTTTCCCCCAAAGCGATGCAAATTTTGGAAGAAATTACATTGGTTTAAATGGGGAGAAAATAGGCAAATTCCCGGAACTACGTTTTTCGGTTGTAAAATGCGCCGAAATGATTTCAGACCCTGACCATCTCTTGGAAAGTGATCCAGAGGCCTATTTTGAACGAGAAAATTCCACTTTTGACCCAAAGAGGGGGGAGGGGGGTCAGGGCGCAGTTAGTTTTGAGGCGCTGCGCGCAGCAAAATGCTCGCATTTGACAGTTTTTGATCAACCTCAGAACAGGTCCTCCGAAGCTGAGGAGGCTAATGTATCTCATAAATTGTAATAAAATAATGTAAAAGAGTTGTTTTCATCCCTTCAGAACTATTTTTGACCATTTACACTGTTGCTAAATTTACTCGAACCTGGAAGGGAATTAGTGTATATAATCTTCTTCACTTGAGTGATTTTGGCAACAGTGTAAATGGTCGAAAATAGTTCTGAAGGGATGGAAACAACTCTTTTACATTATTTTATTACAATTTATGAGATACACTAGCCTCCTCAGCTTCGGAGGACCTGTTCTGAGGTTGATCAAAAACTGTCAAATGCGAGCATTTTGCTGCGCGCAGCGCCTCAAATCTAACTGCGCCCTGACCCCCCCTCCCCCCTCTTTGGGTCAAAAGTGGAATTTTCTCGTTCAAAATAGGCCTCTGGATCACTTTCCAAGAGATGGTCAGGTCTGAAATCATTTCGGCGCATTTTACAACCGAAAAACGTAGTTCCGGGAATTTGCCTATTTTCTCCCCATTTAAACCAATGTAATTTCTTCCAAAATTTGCATCGCTTTGGGGGAAAGTGTAGACTTCAGCTATGGTGCTGAAACTTCAGAATTATCTTTTGGGGACCAAAAGGAATGGGAAAAAGCCCGGGGAGCAAGGTTTTGAGATGGTTGTCTGAAAACGGAACACCCTATTCCACCTCGCTTTTATCAGTCAGTGATGCACTGGTTACTCAGCGTGATACTTGGATGAAAGCAAGGTGAAAAAACCAAGGGTGTCACCACCGCGATGGATGACTTCAAAAACCTGCCTTTTCAAAGGGCGATATCTCGGTTAATATTTAACGTAGAAAGTTGCTGTTTGGACGGGTCTTATTATTTTCAGCTGACCCACAAGAATTCAAGCATAAAACCACGATTTTGTGACCAACGCAACTAAACCATTTACCGGGAAAATTGTGAATATTTTCCCCCGAAATTTTCAGACGATTTTGCACGCAATTTAATGTAAATATGTGAAATTTTAAAGGAAAAATATGCATAAATGTCGTAAAAAATACATGCTTTATCAAGGGAAACTTGGCAACTCTCGAATTTTCGTGCAGCGTTCTTCCTTCGCACGGCAGAATTCAAGCCGAGTCGATTACAATCAAGAAATGCCTTGAAGGAGGAGTGGATTCTAGATTTTGCCTGTGTGATTTGTTGTTTTTGAGTCATTAAAACACTTGAATTCATATGTGATGCACCCGTGGCAAGGGTTCGTGATGACCCACATCTACGCAAAAGAGGGAGGCACCCTTGTAATGAAAAGATTTTTCGGGGGGGGGGGNGGGGGGGGGGTGTGTGGAGGTAAGTGACATCTAGGACAAAGGGAGAAGGAGAGGTCAAAGGTCGGGGAAAATGGGTTACGTAATTCATGGACGAACCCTCACTACTTTTCAGCAAAAAAAGGAAAATTGTGAAAGGTGAGAGATGAATTAATCCGGGAAATCCAGGTACCCTCATTAATTATTGTAATAACTGGTCGTATTTCTATCAAACGGAACTCTGTGCATTATGACGTGAGCCCTGTTATGGACATATTCGTATGGGTCTCAGGGCTAATGTCTTAAAGCACATAGTTCCGTTTGATAGAAATACATCCAATTAGTTTCCAGTTCAATGAAGACATTTTCTTTTGTGAGCTTGCACTGACCTTTCACCTGGGAAACCCGAAATGTAGGGATATTTTGGAAATCGAAGCCACTCTTTTGTTTTCGAGAAGAACAAGGAAAACGTTGGCGACCTCGAGGGCTAGGAACTTTTGGTACTTAGGTCAGTCGAAGTCGCGCAGCCGTAGGGGTTGAGCTTGAGCGTAGAGGATAATCAATCGGAAGTATATTTTATCGGAAACATATTCATCTCGGGACCGCGTGTGATAGTCGTGTGATTCAAGTGCATTACCATCAGTGTAGTTTCGTGTGCAGTACTTTATTTTCGTGTTCCGTACTTTATTATTAAAATTTTTCTCAGTGAATTGTTCCGTGAATTTAGAAAGTGCAGTGAATAGTTGAACAAATTTCGTGTTCGGTACTTTAGTTTCGTGTTCGGTACTTTAGTTTCGTGTTCGGTACTTTAGTTTCGTGTTCGGTACTTCATTATTAAAATTTTTCTCAGTGATTCATTACGTGAATATAGAAGGTGCAGTGAATAGTTGAACAGCCTTACTTTCCGCAAGTTTCCTATCCGCCGAAAGTTTCCGTCAGCGAGCCTTTACTTTTTCTGTCCAGTGGAATAGTTTGCCGTGTTTTACAATAAGTGGAGTTACTATTTGTCACTCGTGTCGGTTGTCATTCTGCGAATTTTCGGAAGTGTTTATTCTGTGATTATTTTTATGAAATTTGATTTGAGGATGTCGCTTCGGAAGTCAATTTGCTCACGTGTATTCCTCTGCGCTGATTCGGTAAGTCGCTTGATGTCATCAACAAAATGTTGTTTTTTTCATTTTTCCTTTTTTTACGAGAGAAGTGTGGTACATTTAATATCGATGACTTAGGTGTGAAACCACGTATTTCCAGTAAAATTTATGCTACCATTTTATTTTTTCGAGGAAAATCAAGTCGACTGTTGGGCTTGATATCTTTACAGAACACGAGAAAAAAACCACATTGCATTAAGAGTCCAGACTCTTGAAAACATTGACAAGAAAAAATACTCTTGATTCAATCGGATTTTTGCTTGAATCAAAACGAAATACGCTTAAACTAAGAGGCTTGGTTCTTGATTTCAGCTAGATTCTGATTGAATCAAGAGTACTTTATCTTGTCGATGTTTTTAAGAGTCTGGACTCTAGATCCAATGTGTTTTTTTTCTAGTGAATATTTTGCTAAAAGAGAGGAAAAATCGAGGTACCTAGTTTTCAAGGAATAAGTTGACAAGTTTTACCAAGAAAAAATAAAGGGTAACAGGAGGTCCGGGACGTCGCAGACGGAGATAGGTGGTTTCGCACTTCGGCCATCGATGTATAATTTGAGAATCCCTGTGGGCGATAATCTTTTGATTTTCTCGAGATTTTTTTCACAATCAGTCGAGTTATCGAGGTATTCTGCGTATTGAAATGTGCTGCAATTTTTTGCATTTGCGAATTACCTAACTTCTTCATAAATCGATGGCCAAAGTGAAAAATCATGCATTTCTATTGTGGTGTCATAAAATTTCTAACTTTATTTTATTTTTTCGAAGAGAAACAAGCAAACTTCATAGCTTGAAATTTATACAAAGTATTCTGCAAACATTGAAAAACAATCACGGAAGTTTTAAAGAAATTAGGTAGACCAGTTCCCCCGAGAAAAAATGAAGTATGACAGAAAATTTGTTGAGTAGCAGACGGAAACGCTTGTTTCTACACTTAAGGTGATTCGATGGACGCCATATTTTGAGTCAGAATGGCATGCGATATATCGAATCAATCGGTTCCATTTTTTCAGCTACTCGTCATTTTACTCCAATTTTGAGATCGCAATTCTGTTGTCAGGAGACTAAAGCACTTACTTACCAATTTTAACAATGAAATTCAACGTAACAAAGGCGTGGTTATTTTAGAGAGAAAACATCGCATTCGATACTGATATCGAAAGTGCACGCGAATGCGATAATTTCTCTCTAAAAAAACCACGCCTTTATTACGTTGAATTTCTTTGTTAAAATTGGTAAGCGAGTGCTTTAGTCTCCTGACAACGGAATTGCGATCTCAAAATTGGAGAAAAATGACGAGTAGCTGAAATAATGGAACCAATGGATGCGATATATCGCATGCCGTTCTGACACTAAATATGGCGTCCATCAAATCTCCTTATGTCGTCGATATGAAAATGTTTAATCGTTGAAAATTGATTATTATTGAATACATTATGTGAGAATATTGTAATTATGTGGTAAAAAAAAAACAGTTTTATTCCATTATTTTTCAACATTATTTCAATTTATTTGTTAAGCTGTTTCATATACTAGACAATGTGCAACAATGCGTTACGTTGAATTTATCTCTAAATTTGATTTTTTTCTTTGCAGCCAACATTCAAGAAGGCGATGAACGAGGATGGAAATCTTCACCCTACGCATCAGAGCTGTTCCTGACCTTGCAGATCATCGCTTCTTCACGGTAAGATCTCTCAAGCTTCCTCCTATTTCGAAAATTAAGGTGATTCGATGAACGCCATATTTTGTGACAGAACGGCATGCGATATATAGCATCGATTAGTTCCATTTTTCCGGCGACTCGTCATTTTTCTCGAATTTTGAGATCGCAATTCTATTGTCAGGAGACTAAATAATTCACTTACCAATTTTGATGAACAAATTCAAAGTATTAAAGGCGTGAGGAAAATAGAGGAAAAATACTGCATTCGAATGGGATATTTTGTCTCATAAAAAAAACCCACGACTTCATTACGATGAATTTGTTTCTCAAAATTTGGTAGGTGAATTCTTTAGTCTCCTGACAACAGAATTGCGATCTCAAAATTGGAGAAAAATGACGAGTAGCTGAAAAAATGAAACCAATCGACGCGATATTTCGCATGTCGTTCTGGCACAAAATATGGCGTTCATTGAATCACCTCAACTTCTAATGAATCGGTTACTGTCAATAATTTCAATTTTTGAAATGGGTTGCTAAAAAATTTGAGGGGCTTGGAGGACAAGGCGCATAAGTGCAGTTTTTGAAAAAGTTGAGATTTTAATGATTTCAAGTAAAACTAGTCCAAGTGCATATTTTGTGAAAAATTCCCTCTCAAATTTCAATTTTTAAGCTTCAAAAAGTCAGTTTGAACTTTCTTTCCGCCATAAGGATCCGTGTAATTTTAAGACTTCAAATACATATTTCTCGATAATGATTTCAAGTAAAACTAGTCTTAGTGCATATTTTTTGAAAAATTCCCTCTCAAATTTCAATTTTTAAGCTTCAAAAAGTCAGTTTGAACTTTCTTTTTGCCATAAGGATCCGTGTAATTTCGAGACTTCAAACACATATTTCTCCAGGTAGCAAAAACTGCACTTACGCGCTTTGTCCTACAAGCCCCTCATTCTTCCTCAACGCTGATCATCCTGACGTAAGGGCGTAACTTGATTTCTACGTGACCCCTTTGCTCCGTATAACTCTATGCTTTCTAAGGCTCATGCAAAAATCTAGATACGCCCTTACGTCAGAGGAGCGACGATTTGACTGTGCTTAGTTTTTCCTGATGTTCTGTTTCTGTAATACTGCAGAACTACGGAACAAAATGCCTTGAAACTGTCTTATTTTTCCAAGATTCTGCAGAATAAACTATTCACTGAATTCGCTACGACAGGATTCAGCTTCATTTTTTGTCATTTCTCGGACGAAGAAACGCAACTCCATTCCAAGGTTGTCAAATTGATTCAAAGAATTCAATTTTTCACAAACACGAGAAAGCGAAATCTTTATCCAAAATTTATTTTCGTTTTTCATGAGATCAGCGGAAATGTCAGTGAAATGTACAATTAATACCTAACATTTTCCTTTAGAAATTCAAATTTACGAGGTGAAATCTGGCAACAATGAAATGGACCACATTTTGCAAAAAGGAACCACTATTTCTGGCTCATTTTAGAAACAACGTATATGCCATTGGTTTCCCTGTGCAGAACGGTGGTTTTATGAAAGAGTCAGAAATAGTGGTTCCTTATTGCAATATGTAATCCAAATGTAGTTATGTTCTTTCGTGGGAGGTAACGACGAATTGGACTGCATTTTGCAATTTGGAACTATAAATTCTGGCTCATCTGAAAGAAACACTTATGTGCATAGGGATACTAATGGCACATGCGTTTTTTTTTTTTTTAAACCGGGCCAGAATTTATAGTTCCAAATTGCAAAATGCAGTCCAATTGAGGGAGGAAAATAGATTAAAAAGCCTCCCAATGAGTGGCCCCGTTTCGTCGCTCCTCTGACGAGAGGGCGAATCTCAATTTCCTCGTGAGCCCTGGGTCACATTCAAATCCATGCTTTCTGCGGTTCATGTGAAAAGTGAGATACGTCCTAATGTCAGAGGAGCGACCTTTTTTGAAACCCGGGGATTTCATTCGTACGTGACCGAAATGAAACCTTATGATGAGACAAGCCTCCGGTAAAAATTTTAGCTTGAGGATACGTTTGGTTTTGGTACAGTGGCGTGGCGTGAATTGCGATGTATCGATTCTCATGCCATTTAAAGCTATGGTAAAGAATCGATTATTAAGGTGTTCGCCGCGAACACCCTGTCTATCGATCCTTTTTCATAGGTTTAAATGGCATGACAATCGATATATCGCAATTAACGCCACGCCATTGGTTTTGGAGCTACAGCGTTGCAAAGTTTGCAGGTTTGAGTCTTAAAAATCTTCATATTTTTGAAGAATTTCTTCCAAAAGCCAATTTCAAAGTAATGTAAGTAACAAGTAATGTAAGTTTCAAGTAAACAGGACGCGTAACTGAAAAATTATATGAAAATCCGTAGTAAAAGTTTCAAATTGTGGATGAGCCGTTAATAGCAGTACAACGTTGCAAAAATTACATTCTTGTCCTTTAAAAATACCCATTTTTTATAGTTTTTTACCTATATTGTAGCAGTATTTGAGACATAAAATATACAATTAGAGATACTCGCAGACTCACAGTAAAATTTATATCAGTATACGATAATTTTAGGCAATGCAGCGTTGCAAAGTTTAGACGTATAGCATAGATTTAATCAGTATACGATAATTTTGGGCAATACAGCGTTGCCAAGTTTACATCTTTCATCTATGAAAATGTCTACTTTTTCTTGTTATTGTATTGGAGACAAGATACAATATGAGTTAATGGTTAATAGTGTGAAGCGAAATGTGGAGACTTTATGTTGATCCTGGGTGACAATTGCATTAAAATAACATCGTTGCAAATTTTATTTGCTTTTCTTTTAACATTCGATTGTATAAAATTAGTTAAAAGTAAGGATACTTCCAATAGTTATTTTACTTTAAAGTGTAATTCAAGACGATTTTTGGAATACAATGGATGATTCAGCATCAGCGTTGCTTTTCAGGTGTAATGAAGAAACTAACATAAAATATGGAGGCGTTTGGGTTTTTTTAAGTAGAAATAAATCTTGATATAGACGATACATTCATTATGCCTTAAAAAACTGAGTATGTTGAACGTAAGAATGGAAGGTTTTGAAAATATTAAAGAATTAAAAAAAAAAAAAAAAAAAAAAAAAAAAAAAAAAAAAAAAAAAAAAAAAAAAAAATGCAAAGTAAATTAAATGAACGAAAAATAATAAATACACCAAAACAACAATAAAATATAATTTAATACTTAAATACAATATTTAAATCACTGTTGCGTTAAAGTATAAAAAACCCAGACGCCTCCTTAAGAGAGAATTTTAAAATTATTTAAATATGACTTTTGGAGGGTGAAAGTTTAAAATTGGCATCATATTGAGGCGTTTTCTATAGATTTGAAGGCAACACAGGACTGATACTGAAGCATCACATGAATAAAATATTTTGAAGGAAGAAGATAAAAAACTATAAAAAATACAAAAATAAAAAAAAAATGAAAAATAATTCACGGTAGAAAGTCATATAAAATCGAAAGAAAAAAATGTCAATGTAAATAAAAAAATAAGCAAAATCAAATAACTACTGGAAGCATCTTTATTTTAAAATCGTCTATTATTTATTGCTTGGAGAGAATTGTGAATAAATTTGGCGAAAGTATTATTGCAAAAACCAATTGTCACTTGGAACAGACATCAGACCTTGATATTTTGGCTTGATATGAGGGATGATACCTATTGATTTTATCTTAAACTGGAAAAAAAATTTAAAAAAAAAATCATATTTCGTTGAATTCAAAATTGTAAGCTTGGCAACGCTGTATCACTACAAATCAATCTTACATCTGCAGATAACCTAAATGGTTTATTTCATAAAAAAACCATAAAAAAACCCAAAAAAAACCCGACAAACTCTGAACTTAAAAATAAAAACATTTTTAAAGCTTATAAACATAAACTTTGCAACGCTGTATCGTTAAATCTATACTTACACTCGCGGTAAAACTTTTACACAAGAATAATCTTATCATAGAATTTCAGCTAAACCACATTATCATACCTTTAGGTGGTCAATAAGTTCGTTTTTTAATTCAAAAACGGAACAAAATGATCATTTTTATAGGTCTGTGATGTCAAGTTTGCAACGTTGTATCAACAGAATTAACAGCATTAACGTAGAAAAATTATTCATTATTAACGTATTTTTTTAGAAAAATGTAAACTGACTGTTGATAAAATGTCTTAAAATATCATGTAACATCCAATGACAGTTGTTTACAGAAAGTAAGATACTTGATAATACGATAATCTTTAAAGCTTAAATATGGAAACTTGTGAACGCTGTATTTCTAAAACCAGACGTATCCTCAAGTTAAGATTTTTACTGGAGACATGGGTCATCATAGAGCAAAGTAACAATATGTAACAAATTTGGATGATTATTCAAGAATTTCCAGAGTGCCTCGTGTCTTCGGAAGAATTTTTGACGAGCCGGAGTCTAAAAGTGCGTCGTGGTGGAAATTAACTGTTAAACCTTGTTAGGTTATCGACTGCTTTACTTCCTTCTTGCCTTCAATCTGGTGAAGATTGAGCAGAGAGCGCCGAGAGCGGTCCGAGTCAACGTTACTTAATTTGAAAGAAATTTTGTAATTCGGAGCTACAGTTTCTGGCTCATCTATAAAAACACTTATGTGCATATGATACTATGGATACTTACGTTGTTTCTAAACTTGAGACAAAAATTTTAGTGCTCAATTGCAAAATGCAGTCTATTTGTGTGTGGATCTGTGTAAAAAGAGCTTCTCCTCCGGGAGAAAATTGTTCTTAACTTTTTGCGGACACATGAACAACATTTTTCTACAACCGAGGAATTTTTGTCTTCAAGCTTCACGACAGTTTTTGAGATTTAGGATCAAATTCCCTGAGTAAAGGAATTTTGTCCTCAGAAAGATAGGTCTCCTCTTACAGATCTGGTCACTAGTAAAAGGGGCCCGGCATATTGTTACGAAAGGTAGCTTCCACATGAATAATAAGTTTTCCTCCGCTCCAATAGCCTC